TTGTTAGAACTCACCAGTGTAGCTGCTGGAAACCTCCCTTTAGATTCCAGAAGGTGGCACTGCTGCTCCAGTTTGTGGCTTCTCCTTGCCAAAGACCTGGGTAGGAACTGCTGTGGCTCCCGTGAGCCACACAAAGATCTGGCTGTGGGGGGTGGGAAGGGGGGTTGTGGGCTTAGCACTGGGTGCACACGGGTGCGGGCGGACCAGGAGAGTCTCCAGTGGGATACTCCCAGAGGTTTGTAGGCAGACTTCCTAGCAGAAGCTGCTGTCTCTATAGCGTTTTAATATTCTTATCTGCTTTCTTCCGCGTCTCTCCCCCCAACCCCACCTCCGGCATGGGGTTCTTTTCTCAGTACTCTGGGTTCTTCTGAAGAGAAACAAGTTTCTCCAGCCACACACAACCCATACAACTAGGGTAACTGGGCACTAACTCACTGCTTTCCACCCAATGCCCCCAACGCTGGACAACTTAGCCCTGTGCAGTATCACCCTAGGTGATTCTGGTAAAATTCCCCTCCACTGTGTCCAAACTGATATCCTTCCCACTCTGCTGCTGTGCTAAGCCCAGGCAGTTGTTTTGTGGTTTTTTGTTTGTTTGTTTTGTAATGCAAGTGCTTGAGTTAAGCTTTGATTGCTGAGGCATCCACTTCAAAGAGGCAGCCAATTCAACAAAGGATATCTCTAATAAACACATTGCCAGCCACGGAGCTAGAAAAAGAGCCACCACCACCACCCCCCCCTTCAATGAGTTTCCTTTGTTTCAGAGATTTTGGTTGAATTTGAAAACTAACCAGTTGGGACACTAGTTTTTTCTCTTCCCGTGCTTTAAATTCCTGCTCTTATGTTTTAAATTCACCTAGTTAGACCATAATACCCTAGGCCCCAATAAAAGCAGAACCCCAGAACCCTGTGTGCACTCCCTCTATCAAAGACTTTGCTATGCAGCCTCAGGTGCTATGTAATTTCCATGCTCTATAAGTAATGAAACTTTATTTTTTCAAAGTTTCCTGATGGTTATTGCTGAAGGGCACCTTGCAATCATAACCACAAGGGCTCGTCCAACCACAACACCAGTAACTGATAGGCTGAGACTGGCACACAATGCAACACACCTTCAGGTAGGCTGGATTTCTACAAATTCTCTATAGATTGGTTTGCAATTTGTAGACTATCATATAAATGACATTGATCTTAGCGTGATTTTTTAAATAGGACACCAAAAGAACAAGGAACAAAACCAAAAATTAACAAGTGGGATTATATCAAACTTAAAAGGTTCTGCACGGCAAAAGAAACTATCAACAAAATGAAAAAGGCAACCTACAGAATGGAAGAAAATATTTGCAAACCATATATCAGAAAAGGGGTTAAGATCCAAAATATATAAATAATGCATACGACTCAATGACAGAAAAACAAACAATCTAATTTTAAAATAGAGAGGGGAATTAAATAGACATTTTTCCAAAGAAGACATCCAAATGGCCAACAGACCCATGAAGATGCTCAAGATTATTAATCATCAGGGAACTACAAATCAAAACCACAGTGAGATATAACCTCACACTTGTTGGAATGGCTGTCATCAGGAAGACAAGAAATAACAAATGTTGACATTAACAACTCAGGCAACAACAGATGTTGGCAAGGATGCGGAGAAAGAGGATCTCTTTTGCACTGCTGGTGGGAATGCAAACTGGTGCAGCCACTCTGGAAAAGAGTACAGAGGTTCCTCAAAAAACTAAAAATAGAACGACCCTACGACCCAGCAATTGCACTGCTAGGCATTTACCCACCGGATACAGGTGTCCTGTTTCGAAGGGACACATGCACCCCCATGTTTATAGCAGCACTATCAACAACAGCCAAAGTATGGAAAGAGCCCAAATGTCCATCGATGGATGAATGGATAAAGAAGATGTGGTAAATAATTTGACAATAAATTATATTCATAAAAAAAAAGATGTGATACACACACACACACACACACACACACACACACTATGGAATATTACTCAGCAATCAAAAAATAATGAAATCTTGCCACTTGCAACAATGTGGATGGAACTAGAGTCTGTATTATGCTAAGCAAAGTAAGTCATTCAGAGAAAGACAAGTATCGTAGGACTTCACTCATATGTGGATTTAAGACACAAAACAGATGAACATAAGGGAAGGGGAGCAAAAATAATATAAAAACAGAGAGGGAGACAAACCATAAGAGACTCTTAAATACAGCGCACAAACTGAGAGTTGCTGGCAGGGTGTCTGGTGGGGGGAAGGGCTAAACAAGTGAGGGTAATATAATTAAGGAGGGCACTTGTTAGGATGAGCACTGGGTGTTATATGTAAGTGATGAATCACTAAATTCTATTCCTGAACTTATTATTGCACTATATGTTAACTAACTTGGATTTAAATTTTTTAAAAATTAAAAAAAAAAAGATCAATGATGTCTTCCAGTCCTTTTGAAAGTTGCTTGTGTTACTGCCAAGTAATCACCTTCTCAGTAACCCTCCCTCCCAAACTCTTATATACCTTCTGATAAATTCCAAAGTGCTTAGTACGTGTGGTTTTACTTTTGTTGGGAATTAACGAAGAGTTTTGCATTGGGGAGGATGGATATGGTGCAAGTAAGAATTAGCAAATGAAGACAGAGAATTCTGAAAGCCGGTGTATCCTAAGAATGTAAACATCTGGAACCCACAGAGATTTGAAGAATCCTAGACTTTCAAAAGCCATGCAATTGATGTAAGTCTGGGACAGTTTTATCACATCTTTCCTGTTAATCAGGAAAACCCCGTAGATGATATCTGAATTAAACAATAAAGGTATTTTTGTTCTATTAAGGAAAAAATTATAAATGGTATACATGTTTTCAGATGTTTTCTTTAGACAGTAGTAATGCCACTGGTTATTTCCTTTCTTGTGTTTGGTTTTTATTTCCTGATTCTTGTAAGTAATGCACACGCTATACAAGAAAACTATTTTTCAACGTTTATTTATTTTTGAGACAGAGAGAGACAGAGCATGAACAGGGGAGGGGCAGAGAGAGAGGGAGACACAGAATCCGAAGCAGGCTCCAGGCTCTGAGCTGGCAGCACAGAGCCCGACGTGGGGCTCGAACTCACAGACCGTGAGATCATGACCTGAGCCGAAGTCGGATGCTTAACTGACTGAGCCACCCAGTCGCCCCAAGAAAACTATTTTTCAAATCTATTTTTAATTGACATAAAAAGAAAAACTTTTTAACTCTTGCAAACAAACACAACCTCCCTGGCTGACCCATTTAAATAATCAAATAATTTACTCTCCTAACTCTTCGACTCGACACAGCATGATGGGTGAGTTATCCAGAAATATATTACACTCATGTCTTTTTATAAGAAGTACATTAAAAATGTTGTACTTTTCCTAAGAAACATCATGTTCTTTATTCATCCCATCTTGCACATGGGAACATGTACTTTTTTAGCCCTAAGGGAGTCTGGGGAAAGGAAGACTCTCTATGGAATCAATCTAGAAGATCATGTTCATAGACTCTCTGGCAGCAGGGGACAGAAAAGACACACACGCGTGCATGCACGCACGCACACGTGGCCACACACACGCGTGCACACATGCAAGCACACACACAGTATTGAAGTGGGAGTATGGAGACACCACTTTTTCTAAGATGCAGTCTTAATGTTACCTGTGGGACAAAAGAATGTGAATTTTCTAATCACGGAATTGTCAAATCAACTTATCAGCCCCACTTTGTTTATATTTCTGTCTCTAACCAGAAGAGAGTCCGTGATCTACTTCAATAGCTCTCTGGCCAATAACTAGGGCTCCTATGTTCTTCTTCTTTTAGTCCTTTAATTCCTTGGACACCACAATCCTACATTAACGCAATTAATGTTGTGTACATTTCTGAATTTAGATAGACAAGTGTTGCCGGTGGCATTACACAAACACATACGTTGATACTGCCATAAATTCATGGAGATCACTCTCAATTAGTTCATCTACACTGTCCAGATGCTATCGTATCGAATGCTTACAGCCAGAGCCTGAGTGAGAGACTGTTAAGTTAAGGGATGAGCTTAGAGATGGTTTAGAGATGGCATAATCTCCAGAAGCTTATTCTGTCAATATCAGTGCCCTGGTTGGGATCTAAAATGAGTTTCCATGATTCAAAACTATTTATTGATTGATCTTACAGACGAACATGACTAAAAGCAATTCAAAGGAAAGTCTTATCTTTCAAACGAGTTATAATGCAAGAGAAATCAAAGCCTGGGTAACAAAATCATTCGTGTAATTTCCTATACCTGCACTAATAGGAAATGTGTTGCTAAAGTAGCACATCCCCCAGAAGTCTCCCCCAACCTCCTCCAAGAGACAGCCACTGAGATCCATGGAGAAAGGGAATCTTCCCAGAGAACAGAACAGAAAAAATACAAATCGAAGAATTCTCTATGTTGGCAGGAGAGAAACCCTTGCTATTCTCCATCAGGACAATGCTATATTGCTGTGTTATCTCTGTCTTTCCTCCCCCTTTCTGCTGTTTCTAGATGAAATTTTATTGTAGTCATCCTATTATTCCTCTATCATTGTATATTGCTTGTCTGTGAGTCATTAAATATATCCAGGATGTGAGGATGAAAGTGGGCTGCCATTTGGACAGACTGAAGTGATAGACAAAACACCCAGAGATGCTACACTTAGCTGAATGCTGCAAATGGAGAATGCTTCATTGTTTGTATTCTTTTATTCATAACTAGATGTGAGCACATGTCTACCTTGGGCTAACAGGGCAGACAGCCAAAGTACAGAAAGCACAGATTATTCTCACCAGTAGTCTACAGCCGACAGAAAGCATCAGATAAGATGGGGTAGAACATGCCGTGTCTCTGAATTCCACGTGGGGGAAAAGTGGGTAACCTCAAATTTCCTGTGCCTGCCCACATGGTACGAAGTCCACAGTTCAGAAGTTTGGGAACATACTTCGTATCATGCCATCCGTTCTAGTCTGGTGCATAAGAATCCAAGTCTCTGAGGAAGGTGACACGGTGTGCAACCCACTGGACAAAGAGCTTTGGCTGCCACCTCCTGTGGCAAGCCTGGCCAGGAAGCTCCTCCTGATCATTGCAATTCTGCTGTTCCAGAATCCACAGGTAATCCAGAGCTTTCCAGGGGCTCACCCAAATCAACAATGGGATGGAGTATTTCTAAGAACCAAGGGAATTTCATACGTCATGGCAGGAGAAGATAGGCCCCCTTGGGATGGCTGAAGTCTACCCAACCTCACCAGAAATTCCCTCTCCCTGATGCCTTCTACCATGGTACTGTTCTTTAAAAAAAAAAAAAAAAAAGTATTGACAGAGCTAAAAAGAGGCCATAATTTCCTCTGGGAAGGTGTCATTATAGAAAGGAGTGAGACCATATCTAGGAATGCCCCTATTTATTAGGATACAGTTTTTACTCTGCCACCTAGCCATATTTTCTTCCACTCCAATATATATTTTAGTCTACAGTGTGTGGATAGTGGAAGAAAAACAAACTGTGGAGTCAGGTGTGAGAAATATGCCTTCAATATCCACCGGCTGGTCAACTTTGGATAAATGGTAAAGGCTCTCTGAGCTTCAGTTCCCTCATTGTGGAGATAATGACACCTGGATCATAGGGGCTTTATTAAATAACATTTGTAAAACATCCAGCATAAGGCTTGGCCCATACTAAGAACGTAAAAATTCATTTTCTTTCCTCTTTCAAAAGCAGATCTCTTATATTTGGCTCTTACTATAGGATTAGAAGTGGTCCGTCCCCAGCCCCTCAAACTCCTAAGAATCAAAGGAATTCTGGAATCTGGGGTTGGAGGCAGCATCTTTGTTTTCAGTCTTCATCTTCTGGCGTCTATCTCAGGGGATTATATAAGTCCAGAAGCCAAAATCTGAACATCTTAACTCTGTAGATCACTAAAAGTATTTAGGTTCACTAAAGAAAAGGCTATATATCAAGGTGAGCAAAGTCTGGGACTGAACATTGGAGAAACTCTCGCTCTAGAGGTAGAAGAGGAATGAGGACTCAGAGAGGAGTAAAACAAGTTCAAGATTATTATGATGACATAGAAGTCAAAGGAAGACCTGCACTGGCAAAAATGTGCAATGCTGAGAATCGGGGAGGAGTATTACTGAGGGAAAAAAAACACCTGACTGAACAACATGACAGTCTTTCTTGATCATGGTAGGGAGTATGAACCCAAGAACACAGTCTGACTCAGACATCAATACAGAGTAACAAATACTATTCTCTGGGCATTACAGGTGGGGCAGTGGTAGAGAAGTGGTGCCCTGCGGCACCCAAACAGTGGCAGATGTGCTGAGGTTCCCAGATGGAGTAATAGTTCCATACCCTGCAATCAAAGCTTCCGTTCCTTTATTTTCCCAACAAGAGCTGATGCTTTGGGGGGAGTCCATTGGATGTTGGATGGAAGCCCAAAACCCAGGAGGAAATAAATATGAGTGATCAGTTAGACATAAACACTGAGGTTTACCTTCTTGGAGCATCCTCCATAGGATATTATGAGTATATGCCTGCAGGTTTTCCATACACCTAATCCCTACAAACATCCTCTGTCTTCCCCATGACCAAAGTTGCCTTTTAGTCTCAAACACTGATCTTGGCCTATTGTTCTTTATATGCACAGTAACTGAACAACTTAAGAGATGCTGGGGTGAATATATACGAGGATATTGCAGGAAAATATAAAAATAAGTGAAATACATGAAGTACTATGTGAGAATGGGAGATACTGTTGCCTCAATATCGTGGAATTGGAAGCACGTAAAAAAATTACAAAGCCACCTCGTCCAAAGCCAAGGACATATGCAGTGACTTTCCCTCAAGATTATGATATAAACATAGAAAATTATTCAAGACCCAAGGCAAACTCTACATGAATCAAGCACAATTTTCTGTTCCTTTACTTCTCAACCTATTCTAATAAAGTAAGCTGAAGAGGTCCACATCTTCTTCCTTCTGATTCCTTGAGACCCCGCCCCCAGAATGACCTTACAGTAGATTCTAATAAAGCTCATTGCCAGTTTTCTGACTTGTTTGTTCTTTAATCAGACATCGAACACTCAATACACCAAGTGATGAACTGATAAGGACAACTCAGAACCTCTCCCTTGAAAGGGGATATAACCAGCACATAAAAAAACTATAGCAAGAAACTCAAGGAAGTTGTCATGGAATTCAGGAGAGGGAAAGGTGAAGCCAAGTATTCAGGGAAAATCGCAAGTGAATTTAAGATTAAACTGGTGCCTTATAAAATGTGTATGATTTCAACCGGTAAGTGTTAGTGAGAAGGCAATTTGCATGAACAGAACAAAATCAACAAATGGAAGGAACAGGACATTTCAGAAGAATATACATGCACTTTGTTTGGTTGATGAATAGGTTCCCAAAGACAAACTATGGGGTAATCTAATTTATTTAGTTCCTATGCAAAAGCAGTGAGCTGTGAAGACAGAGATGAATAAAATTCCACTACTATGGAGCTCACTATATAAGGTAGAGGCAGAAATAAGTACATGACTCCAAGACATAAGTTTTTAGTTATTCCTTTGTTGTTATTTTACGTGTTACCACTAGTAATGGATCCTTTTGGAGATTGGAGTCCTTTGAAGTTTGGAGGAAACGTAAAGGACTTAGGAATTGGTTTCAATTGCAGTATTGCATGAGACTTTATTGCTGTCTTGAAATACAAGATGACATAATGATAATTCATGTATATAGTCCACCTAATTCTTAAAAATATACCTTCTGGATGTGATTCACATGAAAAATGTCCTTTCCCACTACATTTCACATTCATTTTCCAGTTTTGTTCCTTACGTCATTGCACCGAGGTAACGTCCACCCCACAAATTTGTGGCATGTGCTCTCTTAATCACCCTCTTATCTCCCGTTCTAGGGCTGGGGCAGGGAATACACACGAGCCCAGAGCACCTTGCAATGCCAGAAAGCCAGGAAGTGTTTTAAAACTGAGAAGGCTGGGGCATGTTAATGGGACACAGGAGTTAGGTTGAAAGAATTCTGAACGACCAAAGTTCGGATGATTTGACTAATAAAATAAATAACATAGCATTGGATTGTAATACAATGTAGAAATAAAATCTAGGAGTCCATACTGATCTGAAAAATTAAATAAATACATTGGCGAGAAAAGACAGATATTCTGTGCAGAAGAATTCCAAGTAACTTTATGTAGACACTCCCTCCTCAAGGAGGGGGAGCTTCACCTCTCCCTTCAATATGGGCTGTGCTTAGTGACTTACCTCCTGCGAGTAGAGTATGGAAAGGAGCAAAAAGGTAATTTTACAGTGGAGAAGCCTGATAAAACCATGCTTCAGATTCTATGGGGAAATCTGTTGATAGTATGAGCATGTGAAATGACGTCATGAGAACAGCACTTCACCTGTGTGGCCATCCTCCCTAAAAGCCACAGCCCCAGCCTAACAATGAGGAAAGCACCAGAAAAAAACCCAAACTGAGTGGCATTCTGCAAAATATCTGACCGGTACTCCTCAAACATGTCAAATTTGTCAAAAACAAGAAACTTCTGAGAAACTGTCACAACCAGAGGAGGCTGAGGAGACATGACAACTAAAGGTAATGTGATATCCCGATGGGCTCCTGGAACAGGAAGAGGACATTAAGGAAAAACTACTGAAGTTCGAATAAGTGTAGGGCTTAGTTAATGCTAATGCACTTAGCTGTGACAAATGCAACGTGACATATAAGATGTTAGCAGCAAGGGGAAATTGGCTAAGGAGTATACACAAGCTCTCTGTACTATCTTTGTAATTTTTCTATAAATCTAAAACTGTTCTTTAAAAAAAAAGTTTACTTAGATTTTAAAAGCTAAACACAAAACCAATTTGGTCATATTCTCTTTTTTCCTATTTATCTAAGAGCCTCTCATGTTATTTCTTCCTTGAATGTTTGATAGAATCAACTGAGATTCAACTTCTTATAGGAATTTTTTTTAATTATACGCTGTTTCTTTAAAAGCTAAAAGGACAGGGGCACCTGGGTGGCGCAGTTGGTTAAGCGTCCGACTTCAGCTCAGGTCACGATCTCACGGTCCGGTCCGCGAGTTCGAGCCCCGCATCGGGCTCTGGGCTGATGGCTCAGAGCCCGGAGCCTGTTTCCAATTCTGTGTCTCCCTCTCTCTCTGCCCCTCCCCCT